GTAGTAGTCGTAGTAGTAGTCGTGGTCGTAGTAGTTTGGTAGTAGCAGTAGTAGGTTGTAGTTTGGTAGTAGCAGTAGTAGTGTAGTAGTAGTAGTAGTAGTAGCAGCAGTAGTGCGAATATTATTCCGAACGCTTGGACTATTACATACAATAGTATTTAAGCCTGTGCAAATAAAGTCTCGGAACCTCAGCTTCCTGCCAGCTGTTGACATTTCTGTTTCTCTCCCAGGTTTCTCGCCGCCGGGCGCCTACGATTTGCGTTCAAGCAGGAGGAAGCAGGAAGTGTTCAGCATTTCATGGGCTAGAGGGTGTAGGAATTATTTGTCGGGTCTGCTTCTAAGGTATTGAAGACGCACTATGGCCACCTCTTTCAGGCAAAGTTCGTCCTCACTGTCTCACACGGTTGCTTCCGCGCAAGCGCCAATGTTATCGAGGGCAGCCATGCTAGGCCGAAGCATTCCCAGCTTTCGGGTCCTTGTCTCTGTCCAGGCAGCATTGCAAGAGCGTTGCAAGATATGCCGGATAGGTGGACGGATGGCAGCCACTAGTTTTGCCAAAGCAAAAATCTGGGGGCGTGGTGGCAGAAGTCCCCGATGTGTCATCTCGCCAGTCTCTGCTAACTTCTGGCACAGAGGAAACAGGACTGGTGAGATGCTTAGCTCGCATGGCTTAGAGCCTGTGAGCCCGTGTAGTTTGAACACGGACAGCTTGCTGGAACCCACTTCAGGTTTTTTGCGCATGCGCATCGGATAGGATCGAAGTCCATCTGAGCAGAAGTGAGTCCAGAGATGCTCCCCATTGTTGACGATCTGAATCCTGCTCCCACCAGCAGACTACAAGCTTCCCAGACTAAGAAGCCTTGGTGGATGCAGGATTTCAGGCAGCGTCAACGCATCAGTGGCAAAGCTCACCAGTGTTCCGCGCAGCGATCGACATGCCAAAGACTTAAAAAGGAAACTGCAGCAAGGGCATGTTCTCTTCCCATTCGGCTCATTCCTCAAACCGTGAAGCCTATAAACCCTGTATCCGAAACCTGAAGCCCCAACCAATCCCCGCCGCCATGTTACCTCAGAGCTGGTGGCTCTGTGCAGACCGCCGCCAGGTTTTAAGGCTCCTCCAGGCTTAGGAGCCCTCCAAGGAACCGAGTCATGATGCTTCCATTTTGTATGTGCTTGCGGGAAATGTGTGCCGTCAGTCTTGATTCGGAGCCAGATTATTCAAGAGCCGAGACATTACCTATGCCGTGCTGGCAGCCCGAAGAGTCACACCTGCTACAGAACTCTGCAAGCTCATTGGTCCAGCTCCACATCCATGGGCCCGCATGATGGTATGCCTCCCAGGCCAGTTTTTTGCTCTGTCTTTTTGAGTGTAGTGCCTGGCATGCTCACTGCAGTCTTGCTTGCTCTTCCTGACTGATGCTATCGGTGCCTGCCACCACCAAACGGGGCATTACCGCCACCACCAGCAGCAATCGCATCACGGCCTTCACTAGCACCGCGACAAAGCACAGTAGCAACAGTTTACGACGACCAGCACGACAACAGCAACAGGGACAGCCGCGACTATCATTGTCACCAGCAGCATGATCGTCATCGTCGTCGTCCTCAGCATCATAATCTACCAGAAGACGGTGATTGTCAACAAAAGCATCTGACATGTCGCGACGACAGCGACAACAACGACAACCTCAACTACGACAAACAACAGCAACAACAAGAACAACACCAACACCAACCCCAACGCCACTGCCACGGCCACCGCCACCGCCACCACCGCCACCACCACCACCAGCAGCAGCAGCAGCAGCAGCGACAACTGTACTGCTGTCTGCACCCTTCCATCTCCAGGACGAAGTTTTACGTCTTCTACTGGGAGGGCAAGGATCATGATGGGATCGACTTGAGCAGCTTGAAGTCCTGCAGGAGAGGGCTTTTCAGGGATCAGGCTTGCCGGGTTCGTCGTTTTGACTTTGGGGTCTCACTTGTCAGAATGTGTTGTCTAATTTTACGGACTCACGGGTTGAAGCTTGGAGCATTGCTTCGAATTTAAGCAAGCATCGCATTTCAGTATTCAGGTGTACAGGATCGAATAAATTGGGGAAGCCGTTTCTGAAGATTTACTTCGCGCCGGCTTTCAACCAGTGTGCACATGAACACGTGAGCAGTGATTCGGCGAAGTTTATAGAAGCTCTCTGAAAGGAAGGTAAGTCGTCACTGAAGCCTGCTAGCAGTTTCTCCGACGGCAATAAAGAGGATTAACGCGGGACCTGATCATGTTTTTCCATTTCTGCCAAGATGAACCGGCTTATTCCAATCGTTGCTGTTAGAGGTAGTAGCAGCATCAGTAGCAGTAGCAATAGCAGTCGTGGTAGGAGTGGTAGTAAGTTGTTGCCATTGCGGTCCCACATGAGATGGCTGCATTGTAGTAAAAGCCCTACGGTATGCGCTAGCCCCTGGCAGTACTTGTGGGAAGCTGCGAGATCCCTGGCGGTTCCGACTCGACAACGTGCAGGCACAGTTTCTGATTTAAGACAAGATGTAGTGGAGTGAGCACCTGGACTGCATCATATCACTACATGGGGGTAGGTGTGATGAAAAGTCCCTCAAACCTACATACACAGCCCCGGGACTTAGAG